ATATGTATGTCAGCTTCTGGTAGAATTATGTATTCTAACTCTACGGACTCATCCCCCACGTTTCACATGTCTCTTCAAGACTGTTTCCCTTCCTTGATTTGACAAAGTACTTATTATCATAACAATGTTATAGGATAATATCCAAGTGTAATACCATTATGTAATGTTATGACCATGCATCAAATGTACTACAGCTTGCCCACGCCTGTGCAGTTAGCCAGGGTGGTAAATAAAGGACTAAACTAAAAACTCTTCAAGGCCCCTCCATTGTACAGAGTTCTATAGACAACTAAAACACAGAATAGAAGAGCTAACTTTGAATGCCAACACCGATTCATACTCAAGTATATTATACGACTACTCCCAAAAAAGACAGTCCACCCTGCTATACTTAAGCAGTTTGCACTTGCAGTTATAAATGAGCATCTAGGAACTCTGTCCAATGCATATGAATGCTACACTGACGGATCCTTGCAGTCTGGGAGCAGAGCAGGATGCGCTTTTGTTATATATAAAAACAATATTTTGCAGCACTAGGATTTTGCGATTCATAGAGTGCTCTCCAGGGTTGAACTTATGTTGTATCCTAAATTTGGAATATAGTATCACATGACTGCATATCAAATGTATTACTGCTTTTCCACTTATCATAACAATGTTATAGGCTAAAATTCAAATGTAATACCATTAATGTTATGACCATGCATTAAATGTACCACAGCTTGCCCACGCTTGTGCAGTTAGCCAGGGTGGTAAATAAAGGACAAAACAAAAAAAACTTCTTCAATGTGGTACTGATCCTCACAGAAAGTGTCTCGGGCCTCAAAGGTGCCATACTCTCTGAATTAAAGACCATGCCCCCCTTCCCTCCCCGGGAGCCAGCCTAAGCAGCCGTCCCTCACCCTCAGGCAGGGATGACCGCAGGCCAGGCGGGGGAATCCCCCGCACAACCATGTGACAGAAGTGACGTCACGCCAGCTGTCCAAGGCGACCGTGCTTGAACTTTTAAAGGAAATGAAAGCTCTGAAAGAACAAAACAATAACTTAAATAATGAAATAACGACGCTGAGACAGGACATGGAAACATTAAAAGTGATTGTCATTACCGTGATACTAACGTTACCATTAGTGCTAAAAAATCGAACGAGGAGAAGCGATGTCAGACCGCCAGTACTGATAACCAGAGTGGGCGTGTCAGCGCTGACAGTCGCCACGAAAAATATCAGGATCCCTGTGACATGGAGTCCAGTGACGCAACCCCCCCCCCCCCCAGGTGCATCTGGCACAGCAACCGAAGGGACTGTTCTGAGAAGTGGAATAAAGCTAAGACCAAATGTTTGAAATGGTTAAAAGTAATTTTAAGCTTAAGACTACCATCTGTAATGAAATCCACATTCATAAAGCTGTATGTTTCTTAAGTGAATCTATAATTCGTAATATTAGAGGACATAACAGCATGAATTACAGATTGCCTAATTCACATATGGATATTCACATATGGATAAACGCATTCAAATTTATGATATTATGGAATATGCGTAGTATAAAGCGCAGGCTGAATTACCTAGAGTTTTATATCCGTAAATATAATACTGATGTTATTTGCGTGCAAGAACCTTTTGCTGCTGCTGCTAAGATGAAAATAGCACCTACAATTCAGGGATATTATTCATATGTGAATACAGCCATGACTGGATTGTTGATATATGTGAAGGTAACACTGCCACATCAATTAGTTAAAAAATCCGAGAACACTGATGTTCAATTTCATCATTTAAAAATTCAGACTGCCACTGGGTATTTTTCACTGTATAATGTATATACCAGATACTCTAAATTTCTAGCTCGTTCTCTCCCCAATTTTCACAACCAAGGCACTGGTCTATGACTAGTATAACACCTATGAAGTAACAACTGTTCAAAAATTTTCTCAGGATCTAATAAAAGTTGTCACTGACTACTACAACACATGGATCTGTTCACGAAAACTCTCAAGGAAAAAGAGGCCCAGGCCTTCCATGCACCGAGGTGGATCAATGACCCAATTCTGGCCAAGGAACATATACGGGTTCAGGAGCTTGCTAATTGTTATAAAGATAATAAGACGACAGGTCATCTTTTGCATTTTTTGAAAGCCAACAAGGAATTCTTAGAAAATTCTTAGTTACACTCACTTCCACAAGGGATAAAAGATCAGCTCAGCAAGTCGAAAATAGATAGAAATTTTAATATAGCAATAGCCTGTGCTACTATTGACTCCTCCGACTTTGTCGAAATAACCGAGTGGGAATTGAGCAATGCCCTTCTGAAAGGTCAGGCAACCGCCCCTGGCGAGGACGGCATTACTTACAGCGTCCTTCGCCACATTGCTCAGGTGCTAGGCAACCCACTTTTACACCTGTATAGACTCAGCCTATCACAAGGAATCCTCACAAGCTCCTGGACCAAAAGCTAAATACCCGAACCCAATACTGACAAATACAGACCCATTTCCTTGACT